ATAGAAGTACATGTATGTGCTCTTTATTAGCAAGAATTTCTTTCAATGAAAGCATCATATTCTCATGGAAACTGAATATCTTATTATTTAATTGAAGCACAGTTTCTTAAAGCTGCATGCCTCCAGATGAGCCAAAATATTTCAAGAAAATAAAACTTGAGAAAAATTTATTGAGGTTTTATGAAAAGTAAAAAGACTAAAGATAAAAGTAATAATTTCCATGTTATTTGCGATTAATGGCCAATTTTTCAGTAATTTTCACCATATTTCTACTGCGTTACTAACGCAGTAAGGGTTAATTTTGACCTCTTTTTTGTAATTATCCCCCGCCGAAAATTTTCGGCGGAGGATATAGAAATAGTCTCCGTCCGTCCGTCCGACCTTCCGTCCGTCCGTCCTTCCGTCCGACATTTTTGTCCGGAGCATATCTCTAAAAGTATTTGAGTTATCAACTTGAAACTTCATAGGTGGATGGACCTCATTGAGGAGGAGTGCAGTGCACAAGAATGATAACTCTACCTTGCATGATTTTTGAGTTATTGCCCTTTGTTATTTTTCAAAATTGATTTTTGTCCAGAGCATAACTCCAAAAGCCTATGAGATATTAACATGAAACTTCATAGGTGTATAGATCTCACTCAGGAGGTGTGCAGTGCACATGAATGATAACTCTACCTTTCATAATTTTTGAGTTATTGCCCTTTGTTATTTTTCATACCTAATTTTTCACCTGAGTGGAGCATAACTCAAAAAGTGTTTGAGATATCAACATGAAATGTCATAGGTGGATAGATCTTATTGAGGAGGAATGTTATATGTGGATAGACCTCATTGAGGAGGAGTGCAGTGCACAAGAATGATAACTCTACCTTGCATGATTTTTGAGTTATTGCCCTTTGTTATTTTTCAAAATTGATTTTTGTCCAGAGCATAACTCCAAAAGCCTATGAGATATTAACATGAAACTTCATAGGTGCATAGATCTCACTCAGGAGGTGTGCAGTGTGCATGAATGATAACTCTACCTTTCATAATTTTTGATTTATTGCCCTTTGTTATTTTTCATATCTAATTTTTCACCTGAGTGGAGCATAACTCAAAAAGTGTTTGAGATATCAACATGAAATTTCATAGGTGGATAGATCTTATTGAGGAGGAATGTTGTGCGCAAGAATGATAACTCTTCCCTATACAATTTTTGAGTTATTGCCCTTTGTTTTTTTTCATGCTATTTTGTCCAGAGCTTATCTCAAAAAGTATTTGAGGTATCAACTTGAAACTTCAAAGGTGGATGGATCTCATTGAGGAGGAGTGCAGTGCTTAAGAATGATAACTCTACCCTGCATTATTTTTAACCAGGTTTTCCGAAGGAAAAAAAACTGGTTATTAGATTGAGGTATGTCGGCGGGCGGGCGGGCGGGCGGGCGGGCGTAAACAATTTCTTCTGTGCGCAACTCCTCCTACATTTCTCAACGGATTTTGACCAAACTTTCACAGAAGCTTTGTCATCAAGTGCCCTGGCGCATATTGTCGGGGTTTTGCGATTAGATAATATTTGACCTAATTATGGCCCTTTGTTTTTTTTCCTTATATAAAATATATAGTGAACAATTTCTTCTGTGCGCAACTCCTCCTACATTTCTCAACGGATTTTGACCAAACTTTCTCAGAAGCTTTGTCATCAAGTGCCCTGACACATATTGCCAGGGTTTTGCAATTGGTATATATTTGACCTAATTATGGCCCTTTGTTTTTTTTCCTTGTATAGAATATATAGTTTCTGTGCGCAACTCCTCCTACATTTCTCAATGGATTTTGACCAAACTTTCACAGAAGCTTTGTCATCAAGTGCCCTGGCGCATATTGTCGGGGTTGTGCGATTAGATAATATTTGACCTAATTATGGCCCTTTGTTTTTTTCCCTTATATAAAATATATAGTGAACAATTTCTTCTGTGCGCAACTCCTCCTACATTTCTCAACGGATTTTGACCAAACTTTCTCAGAAGCTTTGTCATCAAGTGCCCTGACACATATTGCCAGGGTTTTGCAATTGGTATATATTTGACCTAATTATGGCCCTTTGTTTTTTTTCCTTATATAGAATATATAGTGAACAATTTCTTCTGTGCGCAACTCCTCCTACATTTCTCAACAGATTTTGACCAAACTTTCTTAGAAGCTTTGTTATCAAGTGCCTGGCACATATTGTCAGGGTTTTGTGATTGCAAAATATTTGACCGAATTATGGCCCTTTGTATATTTTTTCCTTATACAGAATATATAGAGAACAATTTCTTCTGTGCTCAACTCCTCCTACATTTCTCAACGGATTTTGACCAAACTTTCTTAGAAGCTTTGTTTTCAAGTGCCTGGCACATATTGTCGGGGTTTTGTGATTGGATAATATTTGACCGAATTATGGCCCTTTGTATATTTTTTCCTTATACAGAATATATAGAGAACAATTTCTTCTGTGCTCAACTCCTCCTACATTTCTCAACGGATTTTGACCAAACTTTCTTAGAAGCTTTGTTTTCAAGTGCCTGGCACATATTGTCGGGGTTTTGTGATTGGATAATATTTGTCCGAATTATGGCCCTTTGTATATTTTTTCCTTATACAGAATATATAGTGAACAATTTCTACAGTGCGCAACTTCTCCTACATTTCTCAATGGATTTTGACCAAACTTTCACAGAAGCTTTGTCATCAAGTGCCCTGGCGCTCACTAAATTCCCATGTTTCTTCCAAGACATCATTCAAGTATTTTTTTAAAATTGTGAACATACTTTTCTTGATATCGCACAAAACACCACACGCCAATATTGTTGACAAAAGAAAATGACAAGAGACGCAAAAATGCAAAAATTAAGCAAAAATAAAGTACTGTTTACCTTTCTAAAACATTTGGGGAAAAAAGGCGAATAGACAACATAAAATTTCTCAATCATTTTTGTTTGAGGAATATTAAAAAAGCCATAATTCCTCCTAAAAGTTCAATTAAAAACAAATGCCCCTTCATGACAAAGCTTCTGTGAAATATTTTGCTGAAAACCTGGTTGCATCGCATTGCGATGTTCCTTGTTGAGTTATTGCCCTTTGTTATTTTTCAAAATTAATTTTTGTCCAGAGCATAACTCAAAAAGCCTTTGAGATATCAAAATGAAACTTCATAGGTACATAAATCTCACTCAGGAGGTGTGCACTGCACAAGAATGATAACTCTACCTTTCATAATTTTTGATTTATTGCCCTTTGTTATTTTTCATACTTAATATTTCAATTCAATTTTTTTCTTAAAAAGTATTTGAGGTATCAACTTGAAACTTCATAGGTGGATAGATTTTACTTAGGAGGGATGCAGCACACAAGAATGATAACCTGCCCTGCATTATTTTTCAGTTATTGCCCTTTGTTATTTTCAGCCATCAGTATTCACATAGGTTTCAAATCTGTAATCACTATAGCCATCAGTTTTCATTACCAAAAGACCTCTTAAAATGAAATTATTCTGTTCTACTACATATACATTCTTCCAATGAGCAAACACATTCTGCGGGGGATGGCCATGTTGACATGGCTCTTGTTTACATTGGTTGTAAGTGCCGTTTGAAATGTGCATATGATTTTCTCTGTCAGCTTAATAATATTTTACTTTTGAATACATTTTCAAAATTTTCATGATTATTAGCAGGAATCTGGAGGCGTGCTGCTTTAAATAATAAGTGAGGTTTACTAGTAAGATTATCCAGAATTTATAATGGAACTGTTGGTGGCCGATTGGTTATAGTAATTGGCTTCTGACCACTTGCCCATCACAACAGTTACTGTGTGTTGTAGACTTCTTTAAAGGACTTAGGTTTCTTTTATGTCAGGAAGCTGTCCTGTGTAAGCTTACAGAATGTCAGTGATTCTACTCAGGAGTTTTTTTTTTTGCCTTAAATAATGCATGGAGGGACACCAGAGTTCTTCCTCCACCAGCAAAACGGAAACATTTGGACTTACTATACACCCATTTGAATGATTTATAACCAAACAAACCCCACCTTTACATTTGCATGCTTTTTCAAAAAAAAGTCCTAACTCTGACTGATGTTTGACATTAAGTCAAATTGGTCATTAATTCTCTCAAAGCTGATTTAGAAATCATGTACACTGTAGGATGAGTAGTCAGTCACCAGAGGAGAGACTGGTAATTTACTGGTTATTTATCCAGAAAAGCCTGACCACCCTGTTATAAACTAAAAAGTGTTAAAATCATCACAAAAAAGGCAAATTTATAGAAAAACAAACAAAGACTTTACCCTGATTTGATATTTGACTAGCAATTTATCCACTGTCAGGTTCTTCAAACAAATGTATTCAGTTGATTATAGAAAAAGACAGAAATCTATTTTTAGACTATTTTTTTTTTTTTATAAAGAATATCAGGGGCAGCAAAATCAATTGCCCATATTGCCTAGGTTGTCTGTCCCACAGCTTGTATGGAAAAGTGGAAACTTTCAAGAATTCATTATATAATAATAAATATCATACAAACAAATTAGACATGCTTCAGGGAATAATGGAAAGTAAGTCAAAATCAGATTTTGCTGGCCCTAATTATTATATGAGCCGCGTCACGGCAAAACAAACATAATGGGTTTGCGACCAGCATGGATCCAGACCAGCCTGCGCATCCGCGCAGTCTGATCAGGATCAATGCTGTTCGCTTACAAACCCTATAACAAGTAAAGAAACTGATAGCGAACAGCATGGATCCTGATCAGACTGCGCGGATGCGCAGGCTGGTCTGGATCCATGCTGGTCGCAAACCCATTATGTTGGTTTTGTTGTGACACGGCTCATATATACATAAACATGTAATATTATTGTAGTGTTTTCAATATAATGATTTTTCAGTTGAACATTCTAAGAATTCAAGCTCATAGGATCCTGGGATATCAAGACATTTACAGTTAATGTGTAATTTTGAAAATTTTGTATTTTGCTTTCAGTTTGATTGAAAGATTCTACACCAGCGGGAATTGGAATAGGATTGCATATGGAATAAGAGATATACTGTATGGTATACTGAATGAAGTGTATTGTTCAAAAGATATTGGTTTTGAGGACTGAGTATTGAGTTAGGCTACGATGCTATGATGCAAAGTGAAAGTTAATGCAGATGGCAACATGGAAAGCGTGTTACTGTATAGAACCGGAAATCTGAAGTCTTTCATGCTAAAATGGATATTACTTAACTTATTCATCACAGGTATTAATAGCTTTCTTTTAATATATATAGAATAATGCATGGTTCAAGTTTAGAATTATGTTGTTTTTTTTTACTTGAAAAATTCAACATTATCCAGACTCTTGTCATACTTAAGTTATATTAAAGCATGCACTGAGAATAATCAAGCACAGTGTCCTATTGACAGCTATATTGTAATAGTTGCATTGGGTGGAAGTTACCAAATAAATTGAAGAAATATTATCTTAATGAGTGGTGAAGGAAAAAGTAATACTTATTAATAAATTTAATTTTGACATATTTCTTTATGAAGACAAAATGTAATACATTTGGTAAAATAAAAAAAAGTTAAACAGGATAATTCCCTACCCCCTCCTACTTTGTGACCCCCCACCCATGTTTTAAAATGATTCATGTTGTGTGGGAATACTCCATCAATTTTGAATCCTAGCTATAATCTCTGATCAGACTAAATTTCAGAAGACACTTCCATTTATTCTAACTATACAGGATCATCATTCATTTAAACTAATTTATTGTAGTTTTCTTGTAATATGTGAAGAAGGCAACAGTTGTGCAAAACAGACGCGTGACGTTCTTAGTTTTCAGCAATCATCTTGTAGAAAACCTTATAAAACCAATTTTTAAACCTTATAAAACCAATTTTTTCAAGCTTCTGATTTCCCTAATGGGTCTGGACAGGCATGTTGATAAATCGTAATGATGCCTCTTTGTTGTGGACAACGGCATTTTATTGGCTTCATTATCGGAGAATGGTCATTTGCACATGTCAATTCCTTCCCATTTTTGGATTCATCCATGTAATTAAGTCATTTCATTTTCTTTTTCAGACTATATTTTTCAAATAGGTCAAAGTGATTTTTGTTGAAGATTTTCAGGAAAAAGATCTGCCAAGTAAACAGATTGGCTTCTTTTTTTTTTTTTCTTTTTTTTTTTTTTGAGTGTCGAGACTTTGCATTAATACTGCTGTGCATTAATAAAAGATAGTTACACAACATTGCACTTAAAGACAGGCCTGTACAAATGTTATGGCCTTTCTTTCATGAAAATAAGTTTTATTTTAGAGATTTGCTTGATTTTTTTTCTAAAAAAGTGAATGATTATGAGTGTTCATGATGAAGTCAATTCAAGTGTTAAAATTTTATTTTTGATTAAAGTGAAATAAAGATAATCAGTTGTATCCACCACCATGTTCTGTACATCTATGTGCATATTTGAAGGGGAGCGGTGGCCTAGTAAGTACGGTGTCTGCCTCTCAACCCAGGGATCATAGGTTGGAGCCCTAATCGGGTCTCGACCATGTTTCTTCATAATGGTATGACACCGGTACTGGTTGGTTCCAGGAAGCGGACATGAAAGGGATTAATATAAGTTGCAAGAAGTTGTTTCGCAATCAATCTTAAATATGTTTAAACCAAACTATCTTTGATTGAAGTGAAATACAGGCCAGAGTATGTGAAAAGCTGTTATATTATGCAAAAGATAAATTTTCAGGATTAAAATGTTGAAATATTTACTTGCCTCAATATGTCCCTTATTCCTGTGTTAAATGTAAATTAACCAGACAAAGAATAATCATATATATATTCTGACATTAATACATCTTCAGCAGCCTAGTAATTAAGCTCACTGATTTAGAAACACTGGACCTTAATTGGTAATTTGGTACCTTGCCAGGGATATTGGAATGTTTCATTGAAAAAAAGATTCAACTAGCCTACTAAAGAAGGTGGTCATCTCCTGGTGGTGTTGCCTGAAATAAAGGGCAGAGAAGGTAGCACCTGAGAACTCCTTCCACCAGGCCTATAGTCTCCATATGATGACATTATCAGTGCTGGTGTAACTAAACCATCCATGTAAGACAATTGTCATTTGCATTGCAAGGCTAAAATAAGGACTTAATGGTGTTACAAATAGGTTAGAATAGTTCTAAAATTTGTCCTAATCATTCTCAAGATTTCATTATTATCAAAAGCCCTGAATTGTGAGACCTTTTAGCTTTTAGTATATCAATACCTCTTGTTTACTACCTTTTTCCATGGTGTAGTAGTGTGTGTAATAAAGCAGGAGTGGTAATTGAAGATAATACGGTAATTATACTTTCTATTATTGTCTAATTTTGTGGAAACTGTACAGTGGCAGCACTAATTAAAATATCTGATGGTAGTTTTGATGAACATTGTCATTGTGGAGTTGAAGTTTAGTAAATTGTAATCTAATTTCCCCAGAAAGGCTGACAAGTTAATTCAATTTGTCAAATTATGGGGAATTAATCTCTGTGGCAGGCTTAAATCTGAGATTTTCATGGTGGAGACATTAATATATTTGATTAATAGAATTCCCATAAATAGATAGCATATTAGCAATTTAGTTGTGAGATTTATAATCATGTCATAAAGTTGATTGTCATATTAGAAATGGTCCTTTTTTGTCCTCTCAGCTGTTTACCAAGTGTAAGGAGTTCATAAGTCTGTGGACAGTAGGTTTAAACTCTTATAATGTGGTCTTTTTTTATTTTGTCATGGTGATATCTGTTTTATATGATTAAATTCATTTTTAGCTCGACTTTTCTATGAAAAGGGGAGCTATCCTACTCGCCCCGGCGTCGGCGTCGGCGTCACACCTTGGTTAAGTTCTTCGTACCACCCCACTTTATTTCAGAAGTATTACAAGTATGGCTTTGAAACTTACCATACTTGTTCACCATCATAACCTCCATCTACAGACAAGAGTACATAACTCTGTCAAGGTTTTTGACAGAATTATGGCCCTTTTTTGACTTAGAAAGTGTATTGAGCTTGGTTAAGTTTTTTGTACCACCTCACTTTATTTCAAAACCATTGGAGGTATTGCTTTGAAACTGACCATACTTGTTTACCATCACGACCTTCATCAACAGACAAGAGGACATAACTCTGTCAAGGTTTTTGACAGAATTATGCCCCTTTTTGACTTAGAAAATACATTGAATATGGGTAAAATCCACTTATTGCCTTAACCCTTTGAGATATTGCTTTGAAACTTTTAATGCTATTTCACATCATTACCCCCATCTGTATGCAAGAGAAGGTAACTCTGTCAAGGATTTGTTTTAAAAAATTAAGGCCTTTTATCGACTTAGAATCTTGGTTAAGTTTTTAGTACCAGTCCACTTTTTGACTGAACTGTTTGAGATATTAATTTGAAAGTTGGAATACTTGTTTACAATCATGATTCCCAAACATGTCCAGGAGAAGGTAATTCTGTCAAAGATTTTATTTGAATTATGGCCCTTAACTGTCAATGTTTTGTATTATAGGCAAGCACTAAAAAACTTAAAAAATCTAAAAAATTCATTCCTATCCACTTGTTCACTTTACCATAAATTATGTCATATAAACATTGCTGTAATATTCAAGGGTATCAAACAACTAGTTTTTTTTCTTTTCTTTACCAGCCCTCTTTTGAACTTTAAACATTTCAAACTTTGCTGCAGTGTTCAAGGGTATCACACAATTCAAGTAAATAATGTATAAATTATCTAATGCATGGCCATTGTTCACTTTTAAAAATACAGAGATTCTGTATTGCCTTTACTGCAAAAACTTTTTTATTGCAAAGCAATAAAAAAGCGATGCGCTGTCTTACGGACAGCTTTTGTTAAAAATATTCAAGCAGAAATGAAATTTGCCTCATGTTCAAATTTTAAGAAATCTTGCAATAATAAAAGAAAAAACCAGTAGAAAAACAAATACTTTTAATGGCTATTTAGATGTCTGCAAGTCCCAGAAGAAATAAACGACAATTAACAAGGTACATTGTTTAATGTCATGCTCTAAGAGTACGAGACAACAGTAACATTATTGGTTTGATAAAAAATATAAAAATTTGTTACCTATTTTAAAATGGAAATTCGGAATGAATATTGTTGCAATCTTATGTGCTGCATTTCCCTAATGCTGATTAAATCTTATCCCCCATTTCCGTTGATGCCTTACAATCTTTATCCCCCTTTTCCTGATTTCTACAATCTTATCCCCACCATTTCCTGATGCCTACAATCTTATCCCCCCATCGCTTCCCTGATTCCTACAATCTTATCCCCCATTTCCTGATGCCTCCACATCTTATCCCCCATTTCATCGCTGATTCCTACAATCTTATCCCCATTTCCTGCATGCCACTCAATCTTATCCCCCATTTCCTGATTCCTACAATCTTATCCCCCATTTCCTGATGCCTACAATAATCCCCCATTTCCTGATTTCCTACAATCAATCCCCATTTTCCTGGATGCCTACAATCTTATCCCCCCTTTTCCTGATTTCACAACTTATCCCCATTTTCCTGATGCCTACAATCTTAATCCCCATTTCCTGAATGCCTACAATCTTATCCCCATTTCCTGATGCCTACAATCTTATCCCCATTTCCATTGATCGCCTACAATCTATCCCCATGTTCCTGACCTACAATCTTATCCCCCCATTTCCTGATTCCTCACAATTCTTAATCCCCATTTTTTTTCTGATGCCTCAATCTTATCCCCATTTCCTGATGCCTACAATCTATCCCTCCATTTCCCCGACTGCCTTCAATCTCTATCCCCCATTTCCTGATTCCTTACAATCTTATCCCCCTTTTCCTGATGCTACAATCTATCCCGCCCATTTCCTGATGCCCTTTGGTATTGACCCAGTAACTGGCTTGTCTGATCACGCTGTGCATCCGAATCTGACTCCTTATTTTAACCGCCTCTGTGGTCGAGGGGTTAGAGTCGATGACTTCTAATCCAGTACCCTTCTGGTTGTGTTTGATCCCGGGAGATGGCTTTGGTAGTTTCAGGTGGAGAAAGGTAGTCCAGTAATGGTGTAAACTACCAGGAAACTACCTGCCTATATGACTGAAATACTTGTTGGGAAAGGGTGTAAAATGAAAGAAACAACAAAACCTTATTAAGCTTCTTAGTTTACCTCTGCTGATAAATACGTAAATTAAATGGTTTAATAGGATCTGAGGTTATAAGCTCAGGATTTGACTGGTCTAAGAAAACCAGCAAAGAATTTACAATTAACCAATTAAAAGCAGAGCCCAGTTTAATCACCCCACGCTTGTAGCTTAAAGATTAGGGACCTTGGATTTTGGAAAGTTGGAATGTAATGTCCCAACATACTTATAATTAGGATGTATAAATGAATGCAATTTATAATAAAAAGTGCAGTGATATTGCCTTAGAAATTGTCATTAAGCAAAATAAGAAAATTAGTTATACTTATATAAATGTCGCTTGTAGATTCCACTGAAATAGATTCTCCCGGATGAAATTGATACAAAAATCTCCTGTAGTTAATAGCATCTCTTAATTTGAATGTCCATTTATCAGAGTAACTAGCATATGAGGACATAGTTATTCACAGGCGGCGACTCTATTGATTTCTATTTGTTTCTATTAGTTTTGTCTAATCCAGCCACTACTGTCATACAAATGTCTTTGCAGCAGAGAGAAAAAAATGTAGAAATGACCTGTTTTCTAAGGTGGACATATTTCTCTGTAGAATTTGTGTGAATTTTGGTCTAAATGACCAATTTTTGACCTATTTTTGTTAACAGTGTGTAACTTCATCACTTTGACATTCAATGTTACTTTGTTTGGCTCTGATTATTTTGGTCTAACAGATGTGTGATAGGAAAAAACCATTTGATTAGAAAATTAAGAAGCCAAAGCAAATTTTTTACCTATACGTTATTATCATGTAATTAGTAGACTTAGCAAATGCATTTAATTTTTTTTTTTTCAAAATAATCAAAAGAGGGATACCTTTATGTCCAACACAGTTAAATTGAAAATGTTGTAGATACAGTTTTAATGAGCATTTTTGGTAAATGCTAGCTGTCTTCAATGCCCAATATATTCAACATTAAATCCTGAAAATGGTGAACTGTAGATGTGTTTAACCCATGAAATAAAAGGTTATTTCTGCTTAAAGTTTTCTAAACAGGAAAATTCTTAGCTTTATCTAGTTAATATTTCAAGGTGATTTGAATTGTTCAATAACTGGCAGTGGTAAATTTACAACAGTGTCACAAAAACCAGCACTGACCAGACACAACTTCTATACTAAAATGCAAAGGACTTGCAACAATACAATGTACATATCTAGGGTTTGGTGTGAAACAGCTGTAACTCATATACATGTTATGAAAGGATTTACATGGATCTGTTTTGCACTAAATCCATCGATATGCAGTCGGGCTCTTGTCCTATTCACCTGGTCAAGACTGCTGAAAAGTTGACACAATTGCTGAACGAAACACGGATGTCCTGATCTGCCATGCTCCATAAAGCCACCTTCAGCTTTTCTAAAGGTTAAAGATAAATTTTTTAGATAAATAATCTTTCAATTATTGTCAAATCAAATGAATTTGAGTTGGGAAATAAAATTTTTTTTTCCATCAATAAAAAAAACATAAACAATAAGGAACCCCGACATACAGCTAATCTATCGGTCCGCTTCTATTATGTAAATAAGTAAAGCGGACATGATCTTCTATTTTTTAGAAAAAAACATCACTGACACATTATAAATAGCTTGAAGGACCCTGTTTTGAATGATGTGATGCATTTTTCCAAGATAAAGTTACTGAAATACTTAGTTTGAAACATAAAAAGCTGAAGGCCGCTTTAAACATTTAAATTATTACCGTTGTTGTTTACTTGTATAGGTATGAAATCCTTATATAGAATTTTATCTTGTTTTCTCTCTTAAGTTATAAATATGGCTATCAAGTTTCCGGATATTATAAGAAAATAACTTGCGAAATGTATAATATTTATATGCATGTGATATTTACATTTGATTTTTTGCTCCCAATTTACTAACAATGCTTTTAATAAATGTTATTGAAATAACATAAAATATTGTACAGTTTTACAAATTGTTGTGTAAATAGTCTGGTGAACAAAATGGTGTGTTTTAATCAAAACAAATGTCACAGCGGTGCTATAATTATCCTATTACTGAGATATTCAAACAAGGAAATGATTTTGCTGAGAATTTAGTTTATGGGAAAACAAACAAAAAAAATATGACTTGAGAAATATTATAACTTTCATAAATTAAAACAAATTAAAACTTTGACAACTTGCTTTAGTGAATTTAATCTCTGGAATGTTGCATGCAAGAGTCTTGCGCAGACATTTACAAACTATTTTTGTTTATACCGAAGTTAGTAAAGTACAAAAGTGCACACCTAATATAGACACACTCAAAGAATCTGCAACCCATAGATTACAAGTGAGATGTGTTTACCATGTGGCCACACACGCAACAAACTTTTGTTTGTGACAAAATAATGCCAATGTACACAATACATGTATACTTTTATTACGGTACATTTTTCAAATTCCAAGTGTAACAAGTCTTTTCTATAACAAGTGAAATGCTACAAAATTGTTTCACAACGGTTAAAAGCCATCTCTGGTTACCATCCGGTCATTATATATGTTCAGATTACTTGAAGAGTAGCCATAAATAATTGCATGGAAAGTTGATCTTTTGAGCAAGGATCTGTTTTATGGTACCAACATAGGGACTTTTCAGTTTTACTGGTACATGTAGAGGAAGACCTTGGACATTCTCCACCAGTAGAGTTGGAAAGTTGCCATATGCCCTATACTGTGTTGATGTGATGTAAAACCCAACAAAAACAAAACAAATAAAAAAAACAAAGTGGCATTTTACCCCCTCCCTACCTACTACCAACTCTTCATAATCTTTAATAACAAAGATTTTGCAATAATTTAAATTTCTTTTCCAGGCTGCTTGTGTCAGATATGCGATCAGAATGCGGAAACAACCTCTCCAGAAATGCTTAAGCCATTTCTATTCCCAACAGCCGTACCTCGCGGTAAGATTAATGCTGGGTATTATGAGGAAGACATAAAGGCGATGGACCAGGCCGAATGTTTGATCAGCTGCTGTGATAAACCCCTGTGTAACATTGCATGGTATTCCATGGATAAATGCTTTACCATCGAGTGTTTTGAGCAGGATGAATCCGCGTGCGAACCTGTTGCTCAGTCTTCGGCAAAATATAACACTACTTTGTTTATTCAAGTACGACCTCTAAGTAAGTGAATTTAGACTTTACAATTCTGCTGTCATTTAAAACTGTAATTTTGTTTTGGTACATTTTCCTATACCAAATATTCTCTAATAAACACCTGGGGCATTACATTTTCATAAAAGGGGGGTAAGCATCCCCAGCTTTGTCAAAATCTGAGCTAATTTTCATTATTTTATAATAAAATGCTATTTTCTTGGTCATATTGTTTTCTTTTTCTTTGTCAAAAGGAGGGGAAGTTTTGTGTCTGTTATAGAGAATAGGGTATATGAGCATAAAACAAATTTACAATTTTGAGCATGACATGTGCTTATTCAATTGTCCTAATTGTAGCTTATAATGACTTTAATTAACAAATAATAGTTGATAGCAAATTTATTTTTTATGGTTGTTTTGTAAGTATCAAGAGCAGTTTATTAGATCTATGATTAAAAAGCATTAATTTTATTTGATGACTGAATTGATGTTGTTTTGGGTGAAACACAATACATAAATTTTAAGATCAGGTTGCCATTTGGTGACCTATCTTACTTTTGCTTGTCAAAATATGGATATACTTTGTGAAGATATGATACCCTGTCATGCTAAAAAAGAATATTAAGTTGATTTATCACATACCTGTGCCTCTTTTTCGACTCCTTGGTATTGCATGGCCATGAATATATTTTGATGTGACATCATTTGCATTATATACAGTGCAAAAAACAAGCTAAATGTTATTGCTACATTATAAGCAGGTCAATGAAAAATGATTCTTTTTTACTTTAGACAGTCTTTATTTTGGGTATGTGATAAATAGAATATTACATTTGTGTATGTTCATTGAATAAATTCAGTATGGAACCTATATACACTCATTCAATATGCTCTATAAAATACAATACTTTATTGATTTGGTTTATAATTTTAAACAGCATTTAAATATATGAGTACTGGGTATATTGCTTTAAATTTGCAGAAGAGCATTCATTTTGTGACCATATATATTGTTTGGTTAAGTATGATATTTTGTTCCTTTTTCAGAAATAAGTTTTTGGTGAAATAGGTCATTTTTAAGATCAGAAAAGAGCATTTATTTGGTGAAATAAAGCATTTCATTTATGATTGAAAAAAGAGCATTTATTTGGTAAAATACAGCATTTCATTTATGATTTAAAAAAAGAGCATTTATTTGGTAAAATACAGCTTTTCATTTATGATTGAAAAAAGAGCATTTATTTGGTAAAATGCAGCATTTCTTGTACAATTAGAAAAGAGCATTTATTAGGTGAAGTATGTTTTTTATGAGAGCAGAAAAGAGCATTTATTAGGTGACCTGTTCTTTTGTTTGTGAGAGAAAAGGTGCTAATTTCTCCATTTATGGTTTCATGTATTTACAGCTTGAGATAACAACATTCTATTGTCCTTTTTAGCTCGACTATACGAAGTATATGTAGAGCTGTCCTACTCGCCCCGGCGTCCGCGTCCACGTCCAGATTTAAGATTAAAGTTTTGGTGCAGTAAAATATTTTTCGCTATAACTTTGTCATTTCTTAAGATATCATCTTCAAACTTCAAATATATGTTCCTTATCATCAACCACATCTTATGTGACAAGGTTCATAACTCTAGCACCAATATTTTCAGATTTATCTCCCCTTGAACTTAGAATTTTCCTTAAAAAATACTATTTTTTACTGTTACTTCTTTATTTCTTAAGGGATCAACCTCAAACTTCAAATATATGTACCTTATCATCATCCCCATCTTATGTGACAAGGTTCATAACTCTAGCACCAATATTTTCAGATTTATCTCCCCTTAAACTTAGAATTTTTTTCAAAAAGTACTATTTCTTACTGTTTCTTCTTTATTTCTTAAGGGATCAACCTCATACTTCAAATATATTTACGTTATCATCATCCCCATCTTATGTGACAAGGTTCATAACTCTAGCACCAATATTTTCAGATTTATCTCCCTTTGAACTTAGAATTTTCCATAAAAAATATTATTTTTTACTGTTACTTATTTATTTCTAAAGGGATCAACTTCATACTTCAAATATATTTACATGTACGTTGTCATCATCCACATCTTATGTGACAAGGTTCATAACTCTAGCACCAATATTGCAAGAATTATCTCCCCATAAACTTAGATTTTTTTACTTGAAAAATGTTATTTTTTATTATAACTTTTTTATTTTTAAAGGTATCTACCTCAAACTTCAAATACTTATTCCTTATCATCAATTACATTTTATGTGACAATGTTCATAACTCTTAAAGCAATATTTACACATTTATCTCTCTTTGAACTTAGGATTTTCTTTAAGAAATATAATAACTTCTTTACTTTTTAAGGTATCTACTTCAAACTTCAAATATTTTTATATTTCTTATCATTACACAAATGTTGTGTGACAAGGTCCATAACTCTAGCATGACTATTTCTAGAATTATTCCCCTTGATCTTGGAATTTATGTTAACAAATATTATTTTTTTACTATAACTTAATACATAATTATACATGATTGATTTTTCTTTCATAGTTTTGTCCTCCTTACTGCGTCCAGTATTTTATTAGTCGAGCTTCGCTGTCTCCTGTGACAGCTCTTGTTACTCTAGCATCTAGTGTTTGTTGATAAAGCTATATATATTAAACCTTTTTCCTGATTAGCCATCGCTACCAGTATAGAGATAGGCCAGCCTTCAATCTAACTAGATTCTATGCATAGACTAACATAGGAAACCGTTCTTGTGGAAAACTACAATGCCAATAGTTAAGGCATTAGGTATTACCTAGTGGACCTCTATAAGTTACACAAATCATGCCCCTTAGAGATCAAAAGACACTTCTTGGGCCATTTTTACTCATCTGTTTCGAAGAAATGGTGAAGATATTATAATTGCTTGGCTTAGTTAGTGTTGTTGTTGTTGTCATCATGCAAAACTTTATTGTAACCCCATTATTCAATTTATTTAAATATACATGACTTTGTGTCAATATGAAACTTGGAATGATTGCTTATAATGAGACTAGAGAGGCTGTGGTTAGACTAGTGGTATTATTCTGAAACCCTACAGTTGTTTTTATAGTTTTGTCTTCCTTTACTGTGTCCAGTATTCGATTTGTTGAGCATGCTTTGGCCTATGACAGGACTTGTTTGAGGTTGAAATCAAGTATTGAAGTATTGGTATATTTTTTTGCGAAACAAGTCAGACAATTTTTGTAAAAAAGAGAACCAGTCCTATACATGTAGTTCTGTATTTTAATAATGATGTGTATTGACCCACATCACCAACAGTGTTACATAAAAGGAAATTGGATTTATTCTGTAACAGGCTATTCATAAATGATATAACATTGGCTTTAGAGAGATTGGAGCTGAAGAGCTTTGGATTGTTTTGTAGAAAGCCATCAATAATCCACCAGTCATCATTGTTGTAACCTAAATCATTATACATTCACTATATGATAATGAATGATCTGTGGGTATTGTGCCGGGCTTTTTAACTTCCAGTGAAAGCTTTCCGTCCCCGCAAATAGCTGTTTATATTCTCAAATAATTGTCCTAACAATTTAAAGCTGCACAGATCTACATGTGTAAACAAAATATATCAAATGATCAATTTAATCATACACGTGATATGAATTTAAAAAAAAAGAAATATTTTATTGTTCAAAATCAAAGTAAGACCACGTGACTTAACGCAATAGATTATTGAATTTTCTGTGATAAGCAGTGTTTATTTCCAGTTTATTAATGGAATATTCAGGACAATTTTTGCATATTCTGAAGTTTGATGTACATGTTGTAAATATGCTTTAGACTAGATTAAAAAACCCTTTTATATTTTTACAGATATAACAAGATATACACCAGAATGTAGCTTGTTGAAGAATGATTGTGGAGACCATCAGCATTGTATACTCAATTCAAACAAGGTACCAAGGTGTAAATGCACATTGGGCTATGAGAGGAAAAGTTCCCATTCCAAAACCTGCATTCCAGGTAGGTTCTGAGTGACAAATTTTTGTCAGAATTATCTCTTCAGTAGATAATGGTGATAATTTTCCTATTTTTAAACTGCTTAAAGCAGGCTGCTTAGCTCAATAGGAATTGGGCTTCTGGTAAGTTACCCAGGGAAAGCTGGTCTTATTCTCATCTGTTCTTCAGAAGGCAGAAACAAATTGATTTTTCCCAAGTTCTGAACGAATATAAAACTTCATAATTTGAATGGTCAGCTGTGATAATTTGAATTTCAATGCAAGACACTGGCTGTGAGTTCAAATCCTGACAGGGACTTTGTATTTTTTCATGTGTTGAAGCTATCTAGCTAGCTTACAGAATGTCAGTGGTTCTACTCAGGTATTCTATTAGTGCCTAAAATAATGCATGTAAGGGCACCTGAGGTCTTCCTACACCAGAAATGCTGGAAAGGCGCTATTTGACCTAAACTGTGTCAGTGTGATGTAAAACCCAATCCAACAAACAAACAATGCAAGACACAGGTATGTTATAAAATGTTAGCCGGGTACATGCTGAATGTCTGTTGATTTCACACATAATTTCAGATAAGCGTGTCAATTATCACGACAGCTGTTAATAATGATTATATAATTGTATGAATTATTATTAAAGCTGTAAACATGATACAGAAAATGTGAATTGTCACCCGGAAACTGATGGATCAATATATTGTACAGATAAAGGGACCTTATAGCGTATATAATTGGAAAAATATCGCCCTTGGTCTCTTGCGGACTTGAATTGTGTTTATTATTCTCTGATACCTGAAATGTTTGAAATTGGAAATATGACATTGCATGAACAGGTGTTACAGTAATTGTTAAAGAGTATAATCCATATCGAATGAAATAATTCAGTAAAATTAATAAACGGTGAAATTATGTTGTTTCCATTAAATTACTGTAAAATTTATGATGTTCCATAATATTACAGTAAAATTTTGTTGTTTCTGTAATATGATGGTCGATTCTTAAACAAAAATGGTACATAGAATATCTCTTTTGTTTTACATGCACAAATTTTATACTTGAACATAACAGAATGAAATTTTCAGAGACATTATATGTAACAACTCTAGAGAATTGGCCAACAAATTATGGATGCAATATTATTTTACCATTTATGAATTATATGGAAATTTTTCTTGAGCTATTATAATAAGCTTTATACCCTTTAAAGATATTGTTGTAGCCAGGATGTAAGCTTTTCCATTGGTTGTGGATAGTTTTGAGTTTTTAAAGGGATTCCACTGAGGTTTTTAGGCATGACAGTACTGTAAATAATTTTCTGAGATGCAGATCAAGACCAAAAACTTGTGTTATTTTTTTCCAAATAATTATTCTTATTGTGAAAAACAACCCAAAATTAAATAGCGTTGCAACTCTTTTCACTCAAATTGTGCTAAGAACAGCACAAAAGTAAGTTTTTATGTGGCGGCATGGCTGAGTGGTTAACGCGTCAGACTAGTAATTTCATGATCACTAGATGCATGGGTTCAAACCCCATCAGGGGCAAGTCATCGTTTTCTTGAGTAGGAAACTTTACACCCATTGCTCAGTACTGGTTGATTCCAGGAACGGATTTGAAAGTGTGTCTATAAGCTTATAGCTTCCTACACAATCGAACTAAAATAAATTCTGTATAAACCAAAAGTACGATTTTCAATTTATTTCTAAGTATATTTCTTTATTATCTTTTGTAAATCTTTCTGTTGAAAGTGTCACAGCTGGTCTATATAGGAAATTAAAATTTTTTGTTTTTATGCTTTCGAACCTCAGTGAATTTTTTTTAATGTCACTGAATCACCGGGTCTGCTTCCAAGTGGTTACAATTTCCACCAGGGTCTTCACTTAGAATTTCATTGTGAGGAAGGGTATCTAGTAAGCTTATGGAATGTGGCTGTTAAAACTCTGGTAACTGTAATAATGTTTTGATATGCCCACTTTAAGCACAATAGGGATATTTGGTTTGATCCTTGGACAAGGTAAAATTTCTCCATGGTAATTTGCTTTTGACATTGAGTCCAATAGTTGTGTCTCTCCACTCATTTAGAAATCCTATGGGATAAGAAGTCAGTCACTTGTGATAAAATTGGTAATTACAGGTTAGTTATTTAGAAAAGTCTGTAAGACTGCTGAGATTATTATGTGACTAACAAATTGACTTCAAAACATACAAATAAACAAGTGAAATAATTATTGGTTAATTATCATTAAAAGAGTCATTCTTTTGAAATATGTATATAGCTAATTCAGCTCAACTTGACAGCCAGTAAACTAAGCATAATGTCACATTTAAGAGGCAACAAATTTTTGTGTTAATATTTTACATCACGAAGCATCTTTGTGTTTGTTTATAATCAACAGAAGATTGAAATCAAACAAACACAGGAGCATAGATCAACATTTGAGATGTGAGGAAACAAATTAAATGAGATTGAAACAATCAATGAGGAATGTTTAGCAAGTGCGACAAAATGCCAGTATATGGGGTTTCAACACGCTACAGTTCTGTCTTTCTTGAAGACTGTTAAATTCGCTCTTTAGAGATTTTCTTTTCTATTTTCGTAGCTCGTCAATACTGGTTACTTGACTTCACGTTTCTGGCCATTTTGACGTGTCACATCTCAGAATTTGTTTCTTAAGTAGGTTTTTGTTGTGTTAAGAACACGCCATCGTACTTCATTTACTGGAACTCGGAGTTTATACTTTACAGGAATTGAATGTTAATTGTCTGCAATGTTATGTCTGAGAAATCAAAACTGATGTTTGAATTTCTTTATTTTATACTCATGAATATAATACATTGGCAAACGTTGGTTCAAACTTCCCCAAGGATTTTGAAGAATTACTAACTGTAAATAAGCTATTATCCTAGCTTACAGTAGGTTGGCTATGGGTCAATCCAAGTCTGTATCTCTAGAAAGGGTTGAAACTTCACTTACTTCTTCTGTGATTATCTAACATGATAACAGGTCCTATAACTCTGAGTTACCTTTTTTACAGACTTATGTCCCTTTTCTTTCTGAATAGGTGAGCTTGCTGTCTTATGGACAGCTCTTGTTTAAGTTGAAATGGGCAAGGATGTTGTTTGTTTTGTTAAATTTGAAAAAAAGTATGATATTTTATTTGTTAAAGATGAAAAAAGGTATGATGTTTGAATTGTTGAAGTTGAAAAAAGGATGATGTTTGTTTTTAACCAGGTTTTCAACTTAACCAGGTTTTCAACGAAAACCGGGTTATTGTAATGGCGAAGTCGGCGGGCGGGCGGGCGTCAACTTTTGGTTTCCGCTCAATAACTTAAGTTTGCTTTGGCCTATTGACACCAAACTTGGTGTGTAGGTAGCTTATATCAAGAGGCAGCTTGGGATTGCTACCCAGGTGTCTGTGATCAAGGTCAAGGTCACTGTTACTATAAATAGAAATTCAGTTTCCGCTCAATAACTTGAGTTTGCTTTGGCCTATTCACACCAAACTTGGTGTATGGACAGCTTATATCAAGAGGCAGCTTGGGATTGGTACCCAGGTGTCTGTGATCTAGGTCAAGGTCACTGTTACTAAAAATAGAAATTCAGTTTCCGCTCAATAACTTGAGTTTGCTTTGGCCTATTCACACCAAACTTGGTGTATGGATAGCTTATATCAAGAGGCAGCTTGGGATTGGTACCCAGGTGTCTGTGATCAAGGTCAAGGGCACTGTTACTAAAAATAGAAATTCAGTTTCCGCTCAATAACTTGAGTTTGCTTTGGCCTATTGACACCAAACTTGGTGTATGGATAGCTTATATCAATAGGCAGCTTGGGATTGCTACCCAGGTGTCTGTGATCTAGGTCAAGGTCACTGTTACTAAAAATAGAAATTCAGTTTCCGCTCAATAACTTGAGATTGCTTTGGCCTATTGACACCAAACTTGGTGTATGGATAGGTTATATCAAGAGGCAGCTTGGGATTGCTACCCAGGTGTCTGTGATCTAGGTCAAGGTCACTGTTACTATAAATAGAAATTCAGTTTCTGCTCAATAACTTGAGATTGCTTTGCCCTATTGACACCAAACTTGATGAATGGGTAGCTTATATCAAGAGGCAGCTTGGGATTGCTACCCAGGTGTCTGTAATCAAGGTCAAGGTCACTGTTACTAAAAATAGAAATTCAGTTTCTGCTCAATAACTTGAGATTGCTTTGCCCTATTGACACCAAACTTGATGAATGGGAAGCTTATATCAAGAGGCAGCTTGGGATTGCTACCCAGGTGTCTGTGATCAAGGTTAATGCATTTAGTTTTCATGTTATAACTTGAGTTTGCTTTGACCTTTTGACACTGAACTTGCTGAGTGGCAGCTTTGGATTGCCACTTAGATATCTGGGTACAAGGTCAAGGTAATTTGCTTACAAAAGAATTTTCAGTATCTACTCAATAACTTCAGTGCACTTTGACCTATTGATTGTTGTCACATCAAAACTTGGTCGTTGAAAACCTGGTTTTCGTCGCATTGCGGCGCTTCTTGTGTTAAAGTTGAACAAAGGGATGTTGTTTGTTTTGAGAAAGAAGATATTATAAACTAGAACATAAATGCTTTCTGTCAGGACTCAAAGAATAAAATGAGATATTTGAAAACACAGTAGTGTAAATTATGGTAATACGGGATGCTTAAATTGTCCAATAAAATGAAGGACAAAAAACGAAGTGCATCTTTGATATTGACAAATTGATTTGTAGACACAGTCTGCATGATGCAATTTGTGCAGTTTTTGAAATTGATTTCATTGTATTCCATTGTTGCATTTAACAGTTTAGATGTCCTGCCTATAAGTAGAAAATTAAGTTTCCTTTACTATATTACATCATACATGTTTATTTATGTGTTTATAGGTCTATTTACTTTTGAATGTGAATATCACAGAAGCAAAGGAAGCAAATGGAGGAAAAAATGATATATATATATAAACTGCTGTCTGTTATTTATCAGCTTTATCAGTTATA